ACGACAGAGAAACCTCAGTTTCGCTCGTCCGCACTTTGCGATCGATTTGCTGCAAGAATCGATAGTGTGCTTGGTCATGTTTGGCATATCATTGTCGCAAAAAAAGCAAAAAGGTCGATGCTAATCTCTAATCTCTATTCGTTATATTCATTTTTCATTTGAAAAAATTATTCAATGAAAATTTATTATTATAAATAAATCTTTTGTCACAAACGTGAATCGCAATAATGTAAATAAATTATGAGAAAAATGTGATAGAAAAATTAAAGCATCCTTAAATATGCATTTTATTCATTTATGGATTTTTCGAACATTTAAAAAATCAATTTTCTTCATTAATTCGGTTAGATATCATTTTTTAATGTTGCAATATATATTTTCCACGTTAACAAATTCTCTAAAATATTACGATAACGCAAAATCCGCTTGAAATCAAATGACAACGAAATTTTGTTATCTATACCTATATCTTCCTAAAATTTAATAAATTAGAAAAATTTTAATTTTCAATCGTTTATAATAAAAACCTATCGATATGTTTCTTACACATTAAAAAAAATATTTATATCCGATTTTATTGTAGCAAAATATATAGGATAGTCAAAAACTTTATATGGTCTACTTAAGATTTGCAATTTTTTTCAAATTTTTTGCTCAGACCGAAATTTAAAACTGATGATTAAAAGATTCAAAGAAGAAAACATTTTTTATCATTAAAAAAATATGACATTTTCAAATATTTACATATATAGATGCAGTGAAGATATTAAAAATATAGCATTTAGTGCATATGTACGCAATATATACTTACTAGTATTATTTATTAAATTCGCGAGCCGTGTAATTACCCATAAATAACGAATAAAGCATATTGGACATTAAGTTATATAGGATACAATTACCTTCATAAAGTAAAAGCAAATATATCTTTTGTATTACTTGGATTCTTTTAATCAAGAAGCTAACGAAACTTTAAAAAGAAATTAACGAGATGTATGATGAATTGCTTCGTATCAATAACGCGTTTAAGCCACAATTTCTTAGCTACAGCGATTGTTGTAAACCTCATATATTAATTCTCGGCAAGAGTGACGAAAATCAGGCGGAAACTGACGCCTGCTTGTAAACCGTGATATATATTATAGTGCAGTGTACATTGTTTCCACAACCTCTGGACCACTCCCAAAGTGTCAGTCTAATGTTTAGATCGCCGAAGATGTGGCGCTCGTTAGAAGAAACACGCTCATATAATATCGCGAATTTCAATGCACTTGACCGAAATTTATATAAAGCTCAACTTTTAATTTTACATAGTATAATAAGATATACAACAAAATATTCATAGGTATACATTATGCGATAGTGGTTAAATTATTCCAGTAATAATCATGCGTTTATATCGTGTAATTAATTAATAACGGTATTATCTCCGAATATCTTTACTAATTTGAGATAAAATCAATCATATTGAGATAGAACATTGCACTAATACAGATTGTATTTTGCAAAAATAGGTAGGATAATACATTAATTATTTAGAACCGTTTGTAAATTAATCTATTGCGTAATGAACAAAATTAACTGAATATATAGGTGAATGTAGGTAAAAGAAGCTTATTAAATAAAAGTATAAAATGAATAAAATAAAGAAAAACTTTTTCCATGAAGATCAATTAGGAAAGTTACGTGTATAAATAGAAAACATTTCTCCGGCTCAACTTACACAATTATCGTTATTGATCAATTTCACAAAGATATTCAATTTGCATTCAATGTTGCAAACAATTTAAACGACAATTATTCGCATCGGACAATACCAGGAATATGCAGTCGAGTTACGGTATCATTCAAACACACCAAGAAAAATATTATTCCAGCGGCTATTGGTTTTTCTGAACCGGATATCATACCATCGATTCGGGGTAAAAAGAATAACGCGCAAATTTTACATATACACTTTCGCTTATTATGTATATCATATTTCTCACGCATATGTCGAGAGAGATAGCGCGTGATTTATTAAAGTTTCACATATGTGAAATCGCAATAATTGTTCAATATCTTTAAAAGATATTTATTCCTCTTGTGGTTTACAACATTATCGCTTTAGAAAAGTCTGGAAATTTTTAAATAAATATTGTAAAATTTATAACGACCTTGTACGTTATATAATAACTATAATAAAATTTATTATTAAATAAAAAAAATCATAAAAATCTGTTTGTTGTCTTATTGCACGAATCGTAAAGTTATCATGATTGATGTGAACAAAAGTAACGAACAAAAAGCAACAATTAAACAACTTATATGTATATTATATGTATATGAATAAGATATATTGTCTAATAAAAATCTCAACATGGCATATTTCAAATTTTCAACATAACCCACAAGACATAAATCGATAGCGCAATAAGACAATTAAGGCGCGTAGCTCGAATGACCTTATTCCAGAAACTAAACAAGATATTTAATACAAAACAGAGAAGCAAAAGAGAAGACAGAAACCTCAATCATGAAACGCGTGCCTTCTAATTATGTAGAATGTAAACGGATAATTTACAAACTTGATGAATGTATATAATATGCAGACAACTTATTCAATACAAGTAACTTTGAAAATGAAACACGGATTCTCTATGAGCTCCATTTTGCTCTATAAGATGTAAAATCCGATGAGAGCTTTGACTACTGACCTCATTTTCACGTAATTTAGTACACAACCTTTTCAAAACATGACGGCAGGAGTGTAAATTAAACGAAAGTTGATCTGCTGATTCACGTTAGACCGGCAGCTTTTATCGTCTTACAACGCCCAACATGAGGTTTCGCGGACCCCACGTTTTGCTTGAAAAGTTACGTATACCGGCGTCCAACGCGCCCGCAAAGTTTATAAAAGTTATTCGTCTACATCCTGTAAATGACTCGAAGAGAAAGAACGAATTGTAGCACGGAAAAGCGAAGCATGGGACGAGCAAGCAAGATGGCGAGAAACGAGAGAGATAGTAACACGACTTACGCAACAACGGCAAATAACGCTAATGAGTTTGCTACTTGTATTCTTTAATATTATATTGTATTATATATAATATAATACTATATATAATAATAGTAACAACACATTGGTACAATGTTAATAATAATTTTATCTTATACGTATAACGTTATTATTATATCTTTGTTGCATGAATTATGTATTACGAATATATTTATTACGAGAAGCAATATCTGTAAGAATTAATATATCAACTTCAAAAAGTTTTATGTTAGATATATATATATAAACTATAAAAAATATCAATATGGCAAAACGTAACTCTTACTGAGATCCTTGATAACATCTTCAATAAACACAGCGCGAATATAGGTGACAAGAATAAATAAGATTACTACACGTGCACAGACATCATCACATCGACCTAATTAGATATCGTGAAAAAGCCACAAATGCATGACCGCCATAAATATTCTGTAAAATGCGACCATACAAGCATCTCTATTCGTTCATTTCATAATGAGTTTCCTCTACGACATTATTACGTGGTGTATCGTTATTTATTGTATATGATGAATAGAAAACGGAAGAAAAAAATGAGATTTGCCGGAATTTGGGTTTTTCTTGCCATTTCCGTGTTGTTTCTTCAAATCTAAAAATATGTTTCAGTCTTTTGCTTTAAATAATAACAAAAAAAACATATGAAGATCATACGAAGAAATAATAACTATCTACATTTCATTATTTATGATATTAAAGTATATCATCAAATCATATCATTACTTGATGATATACATACTTTTTTTGTTATAAATAATGAAATATTATATCATTATAGTTCGAAACGGACTTCGTAAATTTGTGAAAATTTAAATGTAGTATAATAAAAGTTTAGATTTCCATCAATTTCTCATGTATGTATAATACTTTTCACTTGTCGATATATTTTATACAAGGTAAAACCGAGTTCTATCATTTCAGCTTTCTCGTCATTAATATTGCGCGAGAGATAAACCGCTGAGAGCATTGCCGTGTACAGATTTGGGGCATTACTGGGCATTACTTAAGAGAATTGTGTATTATAATAAGCGGTATGAGGTTATACATTACTAGGGCATTAATGGGCATTACTAGAGCGTTAATAAGTATTACTAGGGCATTAATGGGCATTACTGGACATTAGTACTATTAATAGGCATTGATGTACATGATTTCAGTGGTTTACTTCTTGATATTGCTTGTTTCTTCAATATCACAGAGAGATATCATTACATTTCTTTAAAACATACTTTGTGCAAATGCTTCGCACAGAAAAGTATAAAGAGAATACGCAGATTTCTATATATCGCTGTTTGAGATCACAAATATATGTTAACGAAGGTAATCTTTTGGCCTTTATGCAAAGCTTGTTTAAATTTGTAAAAATATAGACTACATACAACGCGCAAAACTCGACATTACGTTTTACCATATTTTTCACATATAATATTTCTCTTTTTACATAAAAAGGTACTTTTTCAGAGATGATGTATAGTAACGTTCGCTGTCACAAAATAAGAAAATACATCAAGTTGTAGAACAATAAAAAAAAATTCATATTTTTTAAAGTCAATTAATATTTAACAATAGAAGCAAAATGCATGCGCAATGTATAATATATGGCATCAAACTTCGTTAAAGAAGAATTCAGTCGTCGGAGCATCCGTTAGTCAGATTCCCGTTAATAACTGACACTCCCCTTCAAAAAAAAGCTGTTTTTCAACTTCTTGATAATGATACACCTCGACGATGCCCAGCAACTCGAGTGAGAGAAACGCATGTCGACATATAAATCAGTAAATAATAACCGTAAAGATGCGCGGAAGGAGCTAATGCCCGCAATGGTCAGACAGGCCATTCTCGCAAACGGGACTTCCCGACCGGATGGATGCCGCGCCGCTGGCATCTATCGCGAATAATTGTCAATGCGGTTCGAGATTATGCTATTATGTATTTTGCCACATACCTGGACTGGTCTGCCAAGATAGGCCGCCGATGAACATTTTCCTAGAAAAGAAAGACGATTCCATCAGGCTCGTCGTCCAGTCGCGGGTCGTCGGTGGAAGAGGAAGTGGAGACTGCCGGCAGAGGGTAACTTCCGGTATCATTTTGCAACCCCCTGCGCAGTCTCCCATCCTGGGCGGCAGGTGTCACCACACATCAACAATCGAACAACACCCATTTCCTTTTATTTTTTTTTCGTGAACATGTTTCGTCGCGACGCGCCCGAAGACTGGATCTTCCGAATGCGCGACTTCCTCTCGGACCGGCACCTTCGCTTCACATCCCTTTCCTTTTCGCACGCAATGCCGCAGATTGAATCACATACACATGATTGATCCAATCGATCAATCGACCAGTTCGTTATTTTTTTTCCGCATATTAGGAGATTCCGTCAATCTCGAATTTGCGCCGTCGCGTTGGAAAAAATCGTGCGATATGTATCTTATCTCTCGAAAGTCTCTATCAATACGGATTAATGAAAAAGATAACAAATGTACATAGCACATGCAATTAGATGTAAGCAATATAGGATGTTTTGAATGAAGAATTCAGCCTGCTCACTAACTCACTTAATAATCATTACTTCAATACTTAAGAATTGTTGTAGTAGAAAAACCGAATTGATATCGAAAATTTTCACATTTGGATCCCCCCCCCCCCTTGAGGGAGTTTTACAACTGAAGTCTTTGAATCTCTATATTAAGCAGAATACAAAAATCCAGGAAACTTTGACGATAATATTAATTACGTTCATTCGAAATTTTTCCATCGAGGAACACGTGCCGTTTATCGATCTGCACTATTCCAAAGCAAAAATCTGCATGTTATCTGTTTTACAGATCGATGAATGATCTGCATGATTATGGATCATCTGTACAAGTGCGACACGCATTTGCTAACGCTTTAAAGAAGATTCCGATATCATAAAGAGTTCTAGATAAAAACTTCTCACTATCAAGGTTGTCAAACGACAAAAAAACGACGACCTCTGAGCTTTTTAGATAGGCCGCAAACGCGACACGAATAGCTCCGCGAATAAACAGACCGATCCGGAAGATCATCACCGGCTGGTGTAATCTCCGAGGAAGCGAATTCGCTTCCCTCACGACAGGCAGTGACCATAATCGATCCACGTACGCGTCATTAATTAGCCGGCTTAAGTATCCGTCAGCGTGCGTCGATAAGGAAACGACCTCCCATCCTTTTCATTCATGATCTCGTCCCCCTTCCACCTCATGGATGAGGAGCGATCCCCACTACTGTTCGCTCTTCATCATCGTTGTCGCAAATAATCGCGCCTCGCATTATTACACGGTGAGATAACGCTCCCGCTTGGTGGACGTAATCACGTGGTGGCGCATTTGAACATCGATTTTCTGAGCCACAATATAGCCATCTTCCTCCCACGCGCGCTCGCCCCCTCCTGCCCGTCACTTCTCCCGCCTTCTCTCTGCACTGCCTCTATCCGCCCATCCATCTAGAGCTTCCCAATTGGAAGAATCAAAGTGGGCTATCGTTTCCTAGCTCGTCAACACCGCAAGAGCTAAATCTAGAATTGATATCCACAGATAATTTTAACAATTATACGAGTGACAATTATACGAGTGCATATTCTCAATACCATTTATCATTAACGTCCGTATCACTTAACATTTCAAGTCTCCAATGGAAGCTAATCTTTTTAGAGAAAAATAATTAAAATGTTACCTCTCTCGATAAATTCATTCAAAGAAGTTTATCTTTTTATTTATCTGTCAATACAAACAATATAAAATATATCAACATCTTTCTCTCTGAACATTTTATCATTGAATACTATTTAAAGTATGTCGGACATGTCAAAAAGAAACTCGATGAAAAATCTTGTCAGATTAATTAATTCATAATTATATTTATATATCTACATTTATGAGAGAAAAAATATTAAAATTCATATTTCAAATGTTCTTCAAAAATTTAAACATGTAAGTAAATATGTAGTTTCGCAGTATAATTTTCATTTAAATTATCTCAAGGTACATTCGTACGTTAGAGTATTTTTTTTTATATTGATTCGAAAAACAAATATTTAAACTTTATTAAAATACTTAATATTTTAAGTTAGTAACCAAAGATTACATAGATTACAGCACAATTATGATCATTTTCTTGTGAATACAATTTGTTTCGAAATTAATCTTTAATTGAATATAAAATTTGTGTGTGAAACTCGAATTCAAGTATATTTCCTAATTTGTTAAAGAAATCGTGTCGAATGTGCTTCAAAAAATATTTGACTAAGTAAGAGTAATTAATTAAAATTCGAATATATATTTATAATCTCTTACAAGTATGTATATATATTTAAAAATATAGTTCAATCATACATACGTAGTTGAATCATATCGTCAAACAAAATCAAACACCGTTGGATGAATATTTAATCGAGGGATCTAGCGAATATTAATCAATTTCGTATCTTACGCTAGGAATGGTTAGTAACATAATTTAATCAATTCATCAGTCACGTACAATCAAGCGAAATTAAGCGAAATGTTCTCCAAGGATTAAAGATCTCATTGGATAAGCACAGTAACTGTCGCAGTGCGCTCTAACCAATACTAATCAATTTGTTATTTCACAATCATCGTAATCAGAGATGTGGCCTAATCAATTCGTTAATCACAACCAAAGCTGTATAAAAACATCACGTATTATCTCAAAAATACAGATATCATCAACAAGCCGGACACGTACGATCGAAGGAATGGAATCGATCGGATACCCCACTATCGTTTTAGTCGAGAATGTAATCAGTTCGTTGACCACAGTCGAAGCTAAACTATCGTGTTCTTCGTCAAATCTCGAATCAAATAAGTAAAAATCAAATATACTTGACATTGAACTAATCCAGCTATCGATCGTGAGAAAAATCTAAAAATCCAATTCAAGAACACTAGACGTTGTTTATGCGGAGCACCTGGACCGGTGCTCTCCATTTCGGGTAATCACGTGACAGGACGCGCGTAATTTCGCCCGGAAGAATCAGTCCACCACGTGGGCATCACGAGGCGTGGTGTCTTCACGTGTGGTATTCCAGTATTTTCGCGTTCTTTCGCGAGTCTGCAAAATTGTGTCGGCTGACGGGCAGAATTCGAAGGTGGCGGCATCTCCTCTCCCTCCCACCTTCTTTCCATTCATCTCTCTCCCACCCTCGTTCCCATCCGCCCTCGTCGACGCGGGGGAGTATACCGAACGTTGAAAGAAGGCGCCACCGGTCCGAGGAGAGGTACGCATATTCACGCGCCCGGCAAACATAAACACCATGCGTGTTTCTGCATCGCGGATTGATACACGACGATATTTGCATCGTTGTCAACGGCCAACCGCGCGATTCGGTTTCGAAATCATAACAAAATGCGCGGATTCATTCGTTTTGGAAGCGACCGACGTTAAAACCAGAGCACTGACACGGAGCAGGATAACAGAAACACAAGCTTTTTCCAAGGACGAACAATCGCCGCGCGGCATCGTATCAACGCACTGAGAACGAAAGCGCTCCATTTTCCCGCCCGTCGTTCCCCACCCCCTCTTTCTCCTTTCATATTCTCCCACGCATTCACACGCACACATACGTCCTCTCTTGCACTCGCTCATATATGTATTCTCTCTCTCTCTCTCTCTCTCTCTCTCT